TTTGTATGGATTAAGATATTACTAAGTGCCCACGCTAAGATTTAACAAAACAAAGTACCCTTTTTCTCATCTATGTAGAAAAGCCTGTGATGGTGGTGTAAGGATTAGGTGAAAGACGAGGGAACAACAAGAAGTTCATAGAAAAATGGAATTAAAAAGAATTGTTCCATTATCTTTTTGAAGGGCTCTTGGAAGCATGTGAAAATAATGAAAGCAGAATTTAAAATATTTGACTGGTTTCTTTCCCAAAGCACTTAATCATATTAAGGATAGGCTGAAGAAAATAAAAACTTTTCGAAGACAAATTAAAAAAATTAGTTGAACCAGTAATTTGGTGTTAACTGGAGATTTGGAAGTTTTATTTCAGTGTTAATTTTAAGAACTTGAATTTAAAAACTCATAAAAATTTTAGCAAATATTAAAGGAGTGCCTCACATACTGTTAGTGATTAAGAAAATAATATGCTTTTCTTGCCCTTAAATCTTTAGTTAATTCCATGTACCATGAAACTTCCAGAAAGACAACCTGAGTTTTTTTTTTACTATTCTTTATTGGGAAATGATGTTACAAATGAACCCTTCAATGATTTGATCAACCCAAACTTTGAGCCTGAGAGAGCATCTGTTCGCATACGTAGCAGCGTAGAAGTTCTTCGTGTTTACCTGATTCTTCAGTCTAAAATACAGGTGAGTACTGTAGCAATTAAAAAAAATGAAACATTAAGTTTTAGATGTTCTGGAGGTACTTCAATGTGTTTGAATTGTGGTGCTGGCGAAGAATATTGAAAGTACCCTGGTTCACCACAAACTTACAAATTTACCATAAATCCTGGTCTCCTAAAAGAACAAACAGGTCTGTCTTAGTAGAAGTAAGACTAGAGTGCTCTTTGGAAGCAAGGAGGGAAAGCCTTGGTCTCACATACTCTGAGCATATTGTCAGGAGAGATCAGGAGCATATTGTTAGGAGAAGGACAGTATGTTTAATAAAGGTAGAGACAGCAAAGGAGAGGAAGGCACTTGACTTTGAGATGGCCTGACCCAGGGCCTCAAACACTGGAACAGTTGTGAGGACGACCCAGGAAAGGACAGCATTGTGTTCAGTTGTGCTGTGGATTGGACCTGACTCAATGGCCCCTAACTAACAACAGGGAACACTCACATTCTATTCTACTGAGTAGTGTGAGTCATCTTAACATCATATCTCAGTTATTTACAGATTTTTCTGACTCAGTGAAGTCTTTGGCATGATAATTAATCCAGGGTTTAGGGAATATGCTTTCCCAGTTATTGAGAAAAAAGGATCATTTCATTAGTGCTGGTGTAAACAATAGCCAGAGGCACAGCGAGCATACTCTAGATTCTTATATTTAAATTCTTTACCAGCAAAAAGATGAGACAACTCTCTAAAACGTGTGCTTAGGTGAAGACATAAGCTATTTTTAGACTGGACACTTTTTTAAAAGTAAACCTATGGAGTGAATATTACTGTTCTGTCTTTTATGAAGATTGATGAACTAATATTAAAATGCTATAGCACCTACAAAGCACACAGCATTCCTCTAGTTATTTAATGCACCTTCTCCCTCACCCCCCCACTATCCTGACCCCAGTTCTGC